CCAAGAACATCAAGAGAAGAGGCAATCAACTCAAATAGCGCCTACAAAATCAGACGAGCATGGTCTATTTGAACCAACAATGTGCACAAAAGTAGCCTTGGATGAGATCAACAAAATGTTCGCAATGCCAATGGATTTCTAAGGGACAAGGTATTTGATTCCATTCTGTTTTGGGCTCATAAAAACACGTAAATTATGCACAGAAGCAGGTGTTCCATGTTCCTGCTTTGATACTTTTCTGTTGTGTATTTGATTTGTGAGAAATCTTTGTTGTCACTTGCAGACATATTTGTGTCTTCGGATATTTAAGAAATGTCTTATCAGGTTACCGATGATTTTATAGATCGTAACTGAGTAAAATCGATACAAACGAGTCACAAGAATCCCATTACATTTACTCAGGATATAAACTCATCTTACAAACAATTTGACAAACCAAAAGAAAAAAGAAAGAAAAAGCGAATCAGTAACATCGTCTTATATAATTAGTGTATGATGATGATCTTCAAAAACCAAAACCCGAATCAGTAAGTAGGCGGTGCAGTCGCGGGGCAATGGTCAGGACGGAAAGCCAATGGACCAGCGGCGTAAACCACGGCCTCGTAGTTCGTCCACTTGATCCTCTTCTCTTCATAACGAAGCGAAGCACCATCAAGAGCATTGTTAATGTTGGAAAAGAGATTGCAATCTTCACGAGGAGACGAAACAAGCTTGGCACGGCAAGCGTGAAGAGGATGGTCCAAGAAATGTGGAGTCGTCTTGAAACCTTTAAGCTCACCGTAGAAATGGCCGTAGGAATCAGTTTTAAAGACTTTGTAAAAGCTAACTTGTTGCTTGTGGTTCTTGCAAATGATGCTGATTTTAGCACCGGCTATAGCTTCTGCTCCGGCCAAAGACCATGATCCGAATTTGTCGCAGGATTGACAGTACACCATTCCTTCCACCGCCGCTTCCACGGTTTTTACGGCAGGGTATACGGTGGTTGGAGGCGGAGGAGAGTAACCGTTGGCCAAAGTCGCCACCGTCGCAATGAAGATGACGAGAACGGAGAATTTTACGGCTCGTGGGTCCATGGTTCTTGTTGTGCCTTGAAAGGTTTTTTGTCCTCTGTTTCTTGAACTTCTTGATGTGTGATCCAGGAATGAGAAATATATGTGTATATAAATAGAAACATATAAAGGCTAGTATTTCACTATTTTGTAGTGTTTGTGTGATTAATTTAATATTTTGTAAGCCTGAGAAATTGACAAACTGTATGAGACGTGAGTCCGACTAAATAAAGAGAATACATGTCTTGTATGCAATGGAGGCAATGCGGCTTATTACGTGACTGCCATTATCTTTGTCAACGGTGTAAATATATATTCTAAGAGAAAATGAATATAAACCGGTAAAGAATTTTGAATATATAATCCTGGAAAAAAGTCAGATAATTGGAAACAAGGAATTGAACTTTTTGATCAAATAAAATAATAGATGGATAAACTAATATTTCACAAGTTTGATGAAGTTCATTACTATAGAAATTCATGAGACTTTTTGGACAATTAACCCTAAATAACTCCAAGGACCAAAACAACGATTGTTTCAGGAATGAATTTATCATAATTTTAAAAGTCTATGGACTCTCACTGCTCAAATATGAAAAAGCAAAACAAGTCCGGAACGATGGTCCTAAATAGCCTTTGTTTAATTTAGAAACCAAACCTTACATTTTGGGTCCTCTTGCAATGAGAATGTCCCCATAAGGCTGTGCTTGGTTCACCTTTATCATTCCGCGAGTCGCTAACACTGGAAATATCAAACCATTTTCATAGTCAGATTTTTTCGATAATGCGTGCTTTAATTCTTAAGCGATGTTAACTAGAAAGGAAGTTATGTGTAGTACCACATGATTGGTAGAAGAGTTGAGCTGCAGCGTTTCTGTTCATTCCAAAAGCGAGTTTGTTAAGAGATTCCACTTGAGCAGCTCCAGGTGTTTCAAAGTGTGTCTTGAGCTGACTGTGTTTGATTTTATACATCTCATTATTGTCACTGAATTTAGAGATTTGTCTCAAATGATACTGAATCTCTTACCTTTTGATGCTATCTGTTATCTTCTCTTCTGAGTGAGTGGTCACTGGCTTTTGAGTCTGTGTAGGTCCAGTTTCCATTAGTACTTCTGTGAAAGAGATTACATAGACAGAAGCCAAGTTAAGGCTTGTAAGATGATGTTTTCGAAGGTTGTATTGATCAAGAGAGAATGAGAAACTTTTACCGTTATCGGCTGTGAAGCCCTTTTCAGGTATCATTGAAAACTCAAAGTCATAAGCACGGTGCTCCCACGGTCTGTCTTCCGCTACTGGTTCCAGTCCTCTTCTTGGTGAGGAATGTGGCCTTTTCCTACTCGTCCTGCGACTGTTTTTAGTAACCGGAATAAGAATTAATGACCATCTTCCTATGCAAAACCTGTTTGTTGTGCTATTGGATTAAGTATCAGAGAGACATAGATGTTGTTTTTAACCTGTTAGAGTTGATCTCTATGTTAATTGAAGCTGCTCCACGAGCGGATGGTGTGCTAGGCATGGATCTCACATCGTCTCCTGGAATTTCCATGAAAAACAAATAGTTAACCACACATGATATATACTAAACCAAGCTATTATCCGATGACTGAATAAGAAAGAGAAGCTTTTAACCAGAATAGAATGGCGTAACGCTAATATCAGCAGCCTGGCGGTTACTATTTTCAGGCCTTCCTCGGGATCCAGCCAGCAAGCCTTCTATTGAACCATCTTTTCCAGCAAGAGTGTTCCGGAGTCTTTCTGCGGGACTACCAAGACTTTGTGAGCTTCTGTCACTGCCCTGATGCTGCATACACACACACTCAGTAAGAGAGAATATGAAATTGTGCCTCTCTTACTGATACTAAACTTTTTCAAGAAAGAATGTGCTTCTGCGCCTTACGTGATCTGTTTGATGGTGGTTATGCATTCCCTCCTGAACAAACCCTGGAGATTGTTCCGCGCAGAATTCAGGACGTCGAGTTTCTGCATCTTCTGCATCATGACTACCAAATGTCAGATCCGTTTTAACAAGGAGAAAACCAATAGAGCAACAGTGATGGATAGTGAGAGACCAGATGTTGAGGTTTGCAGAATTTGAGTGCTTTTTGACCAAAGCTCGTAAAGCTGAGGCGGGTAAGAAATGTCCACATGCTCCTCAAAGAGTTGTGTAGGTGGCATATGGATACGTTTAGATATCTCCACACGTGGGGTGGCGGTTCCTCGAGCCTACAAAAGATATCAAGATGTTAGGCCAGCATGAGCATCAGTTATTACATAAAGGGCCAAGGAGTTCACTAATTTGTACCTTTCTCTTTTTTCCCCTCAAGAGAATATTAGAAGTATCCTGGAGCCATGATTGGTATTCAGGACCAGCGATAATAGTCTGCTCATAATCCATCTCTAAACTAGCTGGCTTTCTTGCTCTTCTTTTTGTTGGTCGTGGTCTATCGGGTTCCTGAATGCAAAACAAAATCCAATTCCAGTTCTTTTCTCACGAGATGAAAGAATTCCCTAGTGAGAGAATATACCTCTCTATCCGGTATGTTTTGTTCCTCCATCTGCTCAGTAAATACGTCCTTACCATGCTCTTGTTGTTCCTGGCGCTGAGGGCTTGTGGCATTCCCTCCTGCAGATGGCTACAGGTTAGCAAATTTGTTTTGTTCTGTTCATGAGTGTTCTATAAATCATGAGTGTCAAGGCTTCTACAGAAATACATTCCCTGGACAGATTCATGATTATTATACTCCAGGTTCACTCAAGCCATTTTTATTGGCTTATCAACTTAACACAAATAACAATTTCATATTTGACTCAAAAATTCATATCCCCATATAGTAACCAGATGTTACCACCATTATAGAATAAAAGAGTGCCATAACTATATACCTTCAGGAATGTCATGATGACGAGGTGGTGATGGGATGAGAGTTGGAGGTATTTCAGTGCCTTCTCTTGGATTCAAGTTCATCTGAGTTTCATCATCTCCTTCGATATCAAATCTGAGGAACCATTTA